CCCCAAAACCCCAAAACCCCAAAACCCCAAAACCCCAAAACCCCAAAACCCCATCTAAATTATTTTGCCTTGAAAAACAAATTGCAGTGTGAACATGCGAATTATAAGTCACTTAGTTATACCATTCATATCCAGTCCAGTGAATATTCTCAGTCGCTACAGGGTGGCCAGGGTGCCCAGCTCTCTTGATTAAAGTTTCGATAAATTCATCTGTGACTACGAAGTAGTGATCTCCTTGGTGATACCTAAGAATCTTGAATGACTCAAATAAGTTGATGATGTCTGTTTGGAGGATACCTGTTTTCTGAGATAGCAGTTGGACAGAAATCTCATCCCCTTGATATTGCTTTAGGAAAGATAGCAGGCGATGTGACCACCATGAGATATAAGTCCTGTGTCCAAGATCCGACAGCGGTGTCTCTGGAGTCCCTTGCCTTCCCTCAAGTATTCCCAACTCGTAGCTAAATGAGATGAGGAACTTTCCATATCCCTTTCTCTGATGGAAAGGAAAGACGAGGATGCATGATAAGTTGTTGTAGTTTCTCTCTTTTTCCATTTTCTCTTGTCCGATTGTTTCAACATCCCAGTTTTTGGAGAAGTCTTTCTCCTTAGAGAAGTACCCTCCAATTTGGTAGCCTTCGTCATCGTATTCGCACATGCAATAGAAAAGGAAAGGTCCAACCTCATACCCCAAATTCTTGTGATCAAGGAAAAGTTTGGATAAATATCAAAGGTTTTCTCAGTAAATCGGCTCTCTTTGACCGTCGACTTCGAAGACAGCTACTTTCTCATCTCTGTAGATCTCGTCACCAGGAGGGTGTCTGATGTCACATTTGGAAGAATGTCTCTCCATGTCCTCCTTGCATGAGAAGAAGCTTAAGCAGTAATGGCATATAAAGAGTCAGTCAATATGGTGGTATTGCTCAGGATAGGGTGAGAAGTACCAAGTTTCGCACTTGAACTTGCCAATTTGGACCCACTCAATTGTCTTTATTTTAGTCGCTTGCTCATGCATGGTAACTTGTTTTTCATCCATGCCGGCGTCTTCGTCATTTTCGAGGAAGCCAGCGCCTTCATTTTTCTCTTCTTCTTCCATAACTTTCCTTTTGCCTAATTCTTCAGTCATTTTATTTATCATCCTAGAGGAATAAACTAGGAATACTTACCCTGACCAGGTCTTTGTGGAGGACCCATTTATCAATTCTCCGATTGTAGCCTTCAAAGTGGACATAGTACTCAAGGTCCTGGCCTTCGGCCAGAGCCTCATTGGCTGGAGTCGGCTCGATGATCCTGCAAGCTATGATTTTGGCAACTTGGTACACTCCACTTTTGAGTGGAGCGAAGACCAGTGTGTCTTCTTTGTAAGCATCAAGTCTATTCTCAACTTCTTCTATAAGGAATGGTAAACACTTTTTTATAAAATTCATCCAAAATGCGCACTGGCTTACCGCATAACTTGACGAACAGTGAAAATGAAAAATTGTGGAATTAGTCAAGATTATGCAGAATTAGCTATCAGGCTTGTGTAAGGGTGAAGAGAGTATTACTAGAAAACTTGAAGAGGGAGGATCCGCTGGATCCTCCCTGTGCCATAGTTCTGTCAAGATTCTCCTTTCCCTTTCCTTTCTTGCTCATTTTAATTAATTATTATAAATTCACGGGAATTTTTTTAATATGGGGTTTTGGGGTTTTGGGGTTTTGGGGTTTTGGGG